GATGATGTGGAGCTTGATCCCTCTGAAATTTATGTAATAGAAAATCAAGGCAATAATTATGAGGGAGAAGAATCTTCAGAAGATGAATTGGACGAGAGTACTGATGAGGAAGAAGAAGATTTACCTGAAGAGGAAGGACAAGAAGAGACATATGAGACCGAAGATGAGGATGATGCAATAGAGCATGACTCTGAATATGACGATGATGATTACTGAACATTTATAGCTTTTGCACTTGTCATTTTCTGTCTTGGTACCAATAAATATTATATAGTGGCACAACTAGTGAATAATATAGTATGTTTACTATTGGTAGTAATACATATTACATAGTGATTTAGTGACACAACTATTGAATAATATATTATGTTTGATAGTATTTCTAGTTTAGTTGTTACATAATGTTTTCTGTTGTTCTCTTCTTCTACTATCATGCCTTTGGTAATCATCTACTAATTTTTTTTATGTGGCTAATAAGAATGCATTTGTCACTATGTAAATAGGATGACCCGCTTGCATCATAGGCGTGTCTCAATGGCTAGGTCGAACAGGTCTTCTTCTAGTGCCTCCGTAGGAAACAATGGATCAACTCAGTCAACTGTACAGGCTAAAAAGCCTAGAACACCAAGAACTAGGACTTCAGCCGGTCTCAGACTAGAGGAAATTGACCGACCGCTTATAGTTCCCGTTGGCATGTAAGTATTAAATATTCCAATTGCTTTACTTGTTGGAGCAATGTTCATGTGCTAACTACATTTGATCTTTATTTATAACAGGGCATGGGAAAGGCACCCATACAGCGCTCGTGATCCATCAACGGTGCTAGGTGCCTTAGTGCGCCAGATGTATCCACCGCCAATTGGTCCAAAAAATGATCAGAAACCGGTATTGTGTTGGGAGGACTACAAGTGGTCCCCTGGTCCAGAAGTAAGAACAGCAGCTTCCAAAATAGTGGAAGAATTTTGGGTAAGTATATGCGCACAATGCTTTGAGAATTTTGAATCAGTTTTTCTAGTACTTAGAATTCTGAAACAGAGGTGAACATATTATATTTAGACATAAGAAGTCTAAAACTGGTGGATAGGTGGTAGTTAAAATTCTTTATTTTGGTCACAACCATGACAAAACTACTTGGTTTATCTATGAAGTGTTGGAAGCTTTGATGATTATGCATATGCTCACTTCCACAAATGCACTAGTAACTAACAAAAAATGTTTTGGGATGGTTTTTGGCAGTGGCATTTCAAGTGTGACCCATCGGAGCAAGAGAAGGCAGATGGTGTTTTGGAGGAGAACTTAACTAGGAAAGTGAAGCAGATGCTACATGAGGAAAAGGCGGCAGCCATCAAAAATTAAAGAAGAAGGGACAATTGCCTACAGAACTAACAGAAGAGGATGAGGATGGTAACCACTGGCCAACTAAGGAAGCTTTAATTTCTGCAAAGAGAGTTGACTTTGGTACAGACGTTGGTTGGCGTCTACTATGTGAGCACTGGAGTAGTACTGAATTTAGAGGGTTATCTTTAACCAACAAAAGGAACATACTTGCTAATGGGGACACGGTCTTCCATTGCAGTGGTGCTAGAAATGTTGTCGCCACACGTCAATTTCTGGTACTATTTTCGTCAAACATCTTTGTGCTTACTGTTTAATAAGGAAGTTTCATTTACATTGGATGATGTGTCACACTCTTGAAATGCAGAAACTCAAAACCGGGAAAGACCCTGGAATTTCTGGTGCTTGGCTTCACACGCACAAATTGCATCGAGGGACTGATGAAGAGCAGATATGCAGTCAAAGAACTGCTGATCATTGGGTCAGTAAAATATTGCAACTTAGTTCATTATAATCATCATGAGAACTATATGCATAACACTGCAGTTTACCATTAATTTTTAATTTGAAAAGGAGGATTTTGATAAGGCAATGAAAAATGCCCATGGAGAAAATTGGGAAGAGGAGCACCCGGATTTAGATGGACAAATCATCTACGAAGCAGCAGACAGAATGCCACATGGCAGGCTGGGAATTGCTAATGAGTTGTTTAGCAAAGCAGAGAAGGCGAAGTTTAAGTCTAAAAGGGCGATGGCCTCACAGCCGGTGCAATCTGCTAAGGAGGAGTGTCTAGAAAGAGAAAAAAAATATTTGAAGCAGGAGATCAAGCGTCTTCGAGGCATTGAGCTTGTTGTTCAGGTAATATTATCTTCTCTTGTAAATTAGAGTCTGAGTGAATAGGTATGTGCTGACATGCTGATGTTTGTAGTCTTTGGCTGAGAAAGGGGGAGTCGACTTTGATGGCATAATGCAATCAGCAACAGATGACTTGGTAAGTTATACCCATCTGAATTGTAGGCTTTCAGCAATTGAACCCATTAAGTAATGTTTCTTTTGTGTATGATACATAGTCTCCATCATATTCTGAAGGCGGATTTCAAAGGGGACGAGGTGATGTGCCTCAACACCAAACCGAAAAGGTTAGTTCATTGTCGTCGTGCTCGCAAGTCTGGGGATTACCTCTCCTTGTTCCACCATTTATGTGTTTGTCTTTGCATATGTATTAGCACATCAAGAGAGAATTTGTGTGTGCAAGTCAGGTGCAGTATTTTTGGTCATGGAAAGTAGCAGCAGATGTAGATCCTTCATATATTTTAATTACAGATTTAGAAAAGAAATGCATGGTTAACTATATTGGCGCATTCCTCTAAAGGATTATATCACCCAAGAGAAATGACTGATGCTGCATGTAAATACTTGATGGTTGATAGGATAAGTTTATCTGCACATCTATGAGAAAAAAAATGCAGTGAAGACCACACTTGATAGCCTACAGTTGTCATGCTTGCTTATCTGTACATATGCCTTGTTTGCTTGTACCTCTGTACATATGCCCTGTTTGCTTGCATATCTAAATTCGCTATCATTTCTTATGTGCAAAACTAGATAAACTGAACCATGTTAATTAAAAAATCATTAATAGGAAAAATATGATAGTATGAACAATAATTTATTTGTACTTCATGTATAATTTATTGAGGTCGCAGGGAACGAATTAGTAGACATGAAAGCATTTAGGCTAACCATCTGGAATATTTTTCTTACGGACACTCTTCCTTTATCTAAGCATTGTACCATGTTCGATAAAGCCTCTGTACATATGCATTTCAATTATGATACATATACATGCAAATATTATTTCACCTTGGGGCACATGCTGCTAGTTTATGCTCTCTGTACATGCCATTCTTAATTAGTTTACTATATGCCCAAACTAGCCAATAGCGGTCTGTTAGTTTACTAATTCGGCTTTGTCATGTGACTGCGAAATGTAAACACTGTTGATAATGGGGTTGCAGATAGATATGCACAGTACTTGGTAAATGTGTATGGAATGTGTTCCTGCTGATTCATGTTTCCTCTGAAAATTTCATGTGAAGGAACGAAAGGTGAATAGGCATCATATTGTTGGATAATCATGTTGTCATATAGCAGTTCGCAGATAACCTGTCAATTAGAACAATTAAGTTTGATCCCTGTAGGTCACTTACATTTCAGCTACATTATACTGACAACTAGTCTTGTCATTACTTAGGGAATGGGAAGCAGGACTGGAGGCAGTACGAGTCATGGAAATGATGATGAGGACGACGACTATGGCAATGGGGGATATGGTAACTATGGCGAGGGTGATCTGTATGGTGATGAGCACTATGATCACTATGGTGATGGGGAATATGATGACTATGGAGATGAGGATGACTATGGCTATGGCTATGGCGGTGGCGATGGCGATGATGATGATTGGCTATAAAATCTAATGATCTTCAAGTCATGTCAAAATGTAGTTGTGTTAGATATTTGAAACACTTTATTATCTTATGGACAAATTTGTCTTAGTGGACAATTTATCTTATGCAAAATGTGGCCTATCTCAGTTACTATTTTGTTCTGCATTCGACATTTGATAATTATGGTTAATGCAATTTGGATGCAACTCAATACCTTGTGCTTGTGTATGAGATGGAATGAAACACCCCTTGGTGAAAGAAATATACGAGGGGTGAGTAATGACCTATGGTGGAAAATATGTCTCGGTTATAGAGAATGCCAATGGGGACTTCAGACTGTTGGTGAATTTATAAATTGACGGTGTTTGCTCACCCTTGACTAATAGGTTTTCTGGCGGTGTTCGCTCACCCTCGGCTAACAGGTTTCCTGAAAGGCCGTATACACTGTCGACCATCTAATGAGCTGACGGTTTGGTTCTCCTCACGGTCATAAATAAGTCCAGCGGGACAAATGTACCGTCGACTACTTTGAAAACCGACGGGAAGCAATAACCGTCGGAGAGTAAATGCTCGACGAGGAACCGTCGGCTATAAATGTCGCCGGGCTAAGATGAGCCAGCTGGTCACAATAACATGCCCGACGGCTCACCGTCGGCTTACTACCGTAGGTGACAATATTACCCGACTGTACCGTCGACTATTACTGTAATGGCCGATGGAGCAAGGCCGACGGGAGATGGCCGACGGTGTACCGTCGGTTTTAGTAATAGTTGACGGTGATCAAAAATATCCGACGGTGATTGGACCCTCGGTTATAATGAAATATCTAGTAGTGAATAAGGCAGCGGAACAGTGCTGTCTGCTTTATGACCAATTCGTGTAAGGAAATTATGACCCTTTTGACCAAAATGGTCGTTATAGTTCAGGGTTTGAAGCCCCCCGAACAACTTTGGACCAATTGATCTCGAATGGTCGTAGATTTATGACCAATTCTTCCAGGGTCACTGACAGAAGGTCAGAAGTTGACATATTTCTTGTAGTGAACAAGTGGCCTTTGAATACATATATAGCATTATTTCGTGGTTTTTTGGACTAGAAGCCTGAACAACATAGGCTACGGCATCAAGAGTGGTGTCACAGGCGCTAGGGGAGTGATATCCAATTTCAACTTCTCCGACCGCAGGGCATCCATTGTCTGGATGATGGACGGTCGGCAGCTCGGGTCCTGGTGCACGCACAAGAGCCCGACTAGTAGCACACGCTTCATCTGCTGTCTCCCGACACTGGACTCGCCACCTATCAGCCTGACATCTGCGGCCCCGAGGAGCGCATTCCCATGGTACAAACTCCTTACACATGAAGGCAATGGAGGTCTATCATTAAGACGCACCGTCGGGTCCCTTCCAGAGACCATCTCTAGTAGCACAATGCCGAAACTGTAGATGTCGGACTGCGTATTCCGTTGGCTCGTGTTGACAAACACAGGGTCTATATACCCGTAAGTGCCCTGCACAACATCTGTGGTCTGTGCCCCAATTTCTTGATGAACAAACCTTGCCAATCCGAAGTCACCTAACTTGGCGCCGTACAAAGGGTCAAGTAGCACATTGCTCGATTTGATATCACCATGTACAACACATTGCTTGTCTTGCTCGCAATCTACGTGGAGGTATTGCAGTGCAGATCCTAGGTCTAGGATGATCTCGTACCTGTTTGTCAAAGCATGCATGTTACGATTATGTATCAAGGAAAAACCTAAGTTGCAATGATATAGATGATTTAGAGATGGTATATTACAATACATACCTCTTGGACCATGGTAACCAACTGTTGCCACCGTGTAGGTGTTGATCAAGGCTACCTTGTGGCAACAACTCATACACAAGGAATAGACGAGTGTACATGTCGTCCCGCCACCAGCATATGAACTCGACAAGATTCCTCGGGCCGCTGTAGCACCAGCCTATCAATTCGACAAGGTTCCGGTGCCTCAGCCGACTGGCAATCCTTAGTTCATCCTCAAATGCCTTCCTCCCCTCGCGGGATGTTGCCGGTTTAAATATCTTTATCGCCACCGCTCTTGTTGGACTTGTCAGTTGGCCCCGATAAACAGAGGCAGAACCTCCTTCCCCGAGCTTGTTTTCCTTTGCAAATTTGTTGGCCGCGCGTGATAGCTCATGACAATCAAAATGTCCAAGGCCCCTGGCGAGAGCTGTGTAATGCTTCTTTCTCGTGCATAACTGCCATCGACGGACGCGAACAAAGATGCACACAATTCCAATAATTCCAATGACTGGAACAGTTGTTACCTCTACTAGCAGTTTGCACGTCATCTTGTAGTTTTTTGGCGGCAGAAGCTTGGAGCTTTGCGTGGGCGGATCCAAGGTGGAGTGAAACGACCAGGATACGATTTGGTGTATCTCGAACCCCTGGCCGGTAGCAGCTGAGAAGCCGATGGCCACCACAGGAGGCAAATGCTTCCTCAGGTCAACACTGGTGTTGACATGGTAGGTCGCGTTGCCGATCTTGAGGACGGCTGCTAGGATCTTGGTGTCGTAGCTGATGTGGCAAGACATTGGGAGGCCGGACGTGAGCTGCCTATCAGGCCAGGTTGCATTGGTGTACGCCAGGGATTCGATGGAGTTGACGTCGATGCCCATGTGGCTGCCGCTGTGGTCGACCTCAGGGTTCCTGAGGGTGTCAAACTCGACCGCTACGGCCCGGTCGGCGCCGGTCGCGACCCTGCCCATGCCTTTCGGGTAGAGGCCAAGGTTGCGACCGTCGTCGAGGGATTCGGGGATGGTCGTTGGAGGATAGTGCCCCAGGAAGAAAGCCAGGCCATCGCCACTGGATGTGTTACTGCTTGCAGCCTTGATTCGGAAGGTGAAGGAGGTGTTGAATCCGGCGAGCTCGCCGGTGGCGGCGTCCCACAGAGTCACGGGGTGCGCGTGCAACACCCGGCCTACGCTGTTTCTTGGGCTCCCGCCGGCTTTTGTCAGATGGATCATCCGGGAGTCGTGGTCGAAGCGCGCGTCGCGCTGGAAGCGGAGGTGCTTGCTGGCGTCATAGCCACCGGGAAGAGAGAAGTTGGTGGTGAAAGAGAGCGAGGTAGCAGGAGGCCATAGCCATACCGAGTAGCAGAGAAGCATGAGGATCTGTATTCGGTGGCAGAAGCGCACGGCAGCCATTTGCTTTGGAAGGAAGCTCGTGAACAAGCACATCCTAGCTATATATATTGGCCGGTGATCAGGATGAATATTCGGCGATGCAAACGAACAGCCAGCTGCCGGGGGCATCGGACTCGGACCTCGACGTCATGCTGCACGCAAATCCTGTGTACATGTCGCAATGACGCCCTCTGGTAATGTCCGTTAAGCAGAAAGATATAAGCCAAACGACAAGGCCTCACCACCTTTCTGCGCAATCTCCTAGGTGAGCAAAGAAGTAGTGGTAGTACAGGATGTACTTGGGAATGGCCATCTCAGACCATCTTTTTTAACTTTTGCTTTGGCTGGTTTCCCTTCCTGCTTGCTACATGATCGATGTTGATATATCAACTCCAAGTTCGTTCGTCTATGGAATCGAGTGTCATGAGCTCGGTTCACGTTTCATGATTTGTCGTTGCACAATAAGCATTTCCGGATCCGCCGTCACAAACATCTTCGTCGCATGATCCTGGCCTTTGTTATCTTGTTGAGATCAACCAATATTTATTCTTGGAGACAGGGTGCGTGTTGATGGCCCGGTACATTTGTATTATACAGTTTGTAGCAGTTGCTTTTTATTACCATATGGTTTTTCTCATTTGGTTATTCTAAAAAAAGGAAAACTTTGTTTTGGGGGCATTAAAAATTTAAACAATTTTCGAATATTTCAAAGATTTCTTAAAATACATGAAATTTTTCAAAATGCAACTTTTTGGAACACGTTTTTTTAAATTTCTGAGTACTTTATAAAAACATGAACATTATTTTAAAAATTTATTTTAAAATTTTCTATTTCTTAAAAAAGATTCTTTCTAATTTTGATTTATTAAAAAACAAGAATTTTTTGCATTTCTGGACATTTTTTGTAGGTTATAATGTTTTTGAATATATCTGTTTTGAAATACAAACATTATTTTGCAAACACAGACATTGTTTCAAATTTTAAATATATTTTGAGAATACCAAATTTTAAAATAAATAAAAAATATTCTTTCAAAATTGTGATTTTTTTCAAAAAAACAAAAGAAAACAGGAAAAAGTAACAAACAATAAAAAGAAAAAAACGGGAATAAGACAACAAAAAAGGGGGAAAACCACACTGGACCTTTAGAAGTTTTGAAACCAAGTATCAAATAATTAGGTAATGGGCCGGCGCAACTCCCGTTCGCGGACACCTTTGTATGAATCCCGAGCGGTGTGACCGCAAAGGCTATATCTTGCCCTATGACAAGTGTTGTGTCGGTCTCGGCTCAAGCATTTTCGACTTCGCTTAAAGATTGTGAAGATCGCTTGTGGTAGTTGATGTAATGGTTCCATTCTTTTGTTATCTTTTTTTATCATTTTTCTCTATTTTGTCACTGGTTTTCTTCAGACTAATGTTTTTCTTTTCTTTTTAATCGGTTTTCTATATTTCTTTCATGGTTTTCACTAGTTTTAGTTTTATTTTTTTCATTGCATTTCTTTGTTTGTTTCTCAGTTTTCAGGGTTATTTTACTTTTCATTCTTTTTCGGTATTCTTTCTGAGTTTTTCTTTTCTTTCTTTCTTGACTTTCAGCGCTTTTCTTCTTTTCCTTTATTTCTTTTTTGGCTTTTGAATAAATTGTCAAAAACAAATCTATACAAGTTTTTAATGTTTTTCAAATGGTTGGTTAACATTTCTCAAATACACGATCAACATTATTTTAATATATGTTCAAAAAAATCGACACCCATTTTTTATTTTTTAAATGTATGATTGACATTTTTCAAATACAATATTACCATTTTTCAAATACAATATTAACACTTTTTAAATGATTGATTAATATTTGTTTTTAATACAAGATTAACTATTTTTTAATACTTGGTCAACATTTTTCCTATATACATTTAATATTTTTCAAAAGCTTGATCAACATTTATTTTTCCTATATTCATTAACATTTGTGAAATGCTTGATCAACATTTTTTAAATACAAGTCTATCAGTTTTTTTCCTATTTAAGAATTCATCTGATTAACCAGTTAACTTATCGATTAATCTCTACTCATATGGTCACCGAGTAGCCGATAAACAGATAAATCGTTCCATCAATTGATTAATTGGCCAATCGACTTGTTGTTTAGCCTATCAATCCCCTACTCGCCCACCAACCGAGCAACTATCAGTTAATGATTTCCTCAACAATGCAATTTTTTTAAAAGAACACAAGTTTTCTTTTTTGAATATGTGGCAACATTTTTTCTATACATATTTCACATTTTCAGTTGTTTGATCAACATTTTTTAATACACAGTCACATTTTTAATACACAGTTAACATTTTTAAATGCTTTACTAACATTTTTAAATAAGTTTATCATTTTTAATACTTGAATAACATTTTTTAAGTACATGATCAACTTTTTTCATAATAATTTGGCGGGAAAATATTTGAAAAACAATCGTGAAACATGCATTTAAAAAATGTTCAGTGTGTATAGAGAAAATGTTTCTCATGTATACAAAAATTGTATACCTAAAAAAACAAGTGTGTATGAAAATAGTTGTTGAGGCCGAGTGACCCAGATCCATTTTTGGACCAAGGGAACCTAGGCCCGTTGTAACTAGGGAAACCTTGTTATCAGGCCGACCGGCCCAAGCGCACGCGATTCACACACTGGTCGTTGGATCTTACTTGTTCCAACGGACCACACGACCCATGTATCCCTTATCTACAACAGGTTAGTTTTTTGCTGCGACCGGTTGCATTTTTAGCTGGAATCGGCAACTACTTTTGGGATCCTACATACTGATGCTTTTTTGCTGCAACCGGCGATGGAGTTTCTTAAGAATGGCAAAAAAAATGCTGGAACAAGCGACGAACTTTGCTGGAGCCAGAGTCCACCATCGGCGGTGGAGCTACAACAGTCAACATAAGGTCCTGCAACTGGCTATGAAGAAGCTAGCACGAGCTGCGAGCGGGGTGTGTTGGTGGCCGTCGCTCCCTTTTTTGCGTGCAGGGGCAAGACCATTGCTACAACTAGCACTAGTGCAGAACCGGCCTTTAGTGCCGGTTCGTAACGGCCTTTAGTGCCGGTTCTAGTGGGGACTAAAGGTCCCCCCTTTAGTACCGGTTCGTCACGAACGGGCGCTAAAGTGCGAACACGTGGCACGAGCCAGGCCCGGGTGCACGTAGGGCTTTACCAACCGGTACTAAATGTTTGGGTGTTTTTTTTTTTAATTTTTGCTTTAGTTTTATGTTTTCAATTTAATTTAGTGATTTTTTACATTATAATGAGTTATTAAATCATTAGGTGAAAGTACCGCGAATTAGTTTCGACTGGAGGATCTAGCTAGCTATATATAGCTAGCTATAGCTAAGTGATCAAGTATATATATATATATATATGCCATATCGATATTATATACTTGATCACCTAATTAGGTGATCAAGTATAATATATATGGATATGGCATATATATAGTTGATCAGTTAGGTAGGGTCCATCCAGCTGAAACTAATATGTGGTTTCTTTCATTAAATGATATAATAATTACTCATCATATCATCATATTATTAATATAAAAACTCTTGCATCATATCATCAACATACTCTAGAATAAGCTAGCTAAAAATCATCGTAGTCGTCATTATCACTATTTAATCATCATAGTCATTACCGCTATCTAATCACCACCAACAGTAGCTTAAAGAAGAAACATTCACTTGTACCAGAAACAAAAATATCATCGAGTTCAACATGATTGTCATGATATTATAAGCGTTCATATATAACACCACAAAAGCAAATCACTCTTTGAGATTAAGTTCAGAATGAAGAACACGGACATGAAAGGATAAATACTAAGAGCAGCATGCTAAATCACTCCTGCTAGCTACTCTCTCTCTGGTAAAATAGCATAGAACATGTATAGCTCTCTTGATTCATCATACTGGAGCATGCAGATGAACCTGTCTCCTAATCGTGGGCTGTGCTTCTCATTGCTGCCCCCTAGTACTTCTCTGCGATCGTTAACAATTTTCCTCCAATCTTTCACTATTAAGCATTCATCGCTTCTAGAAATCCTGAATGCATTCATGTGCAATGCAGCATATCTTGGCCGTAAGCTAACAATTGACATGCGACCTTTAGTCTCGATCCCCTGAGGCACAACTGTCATCGGGAGTCCCTGTTGAAGAACATCGTATAGTACTTAATTAACATACTTAGCAATGAAAGTTTAGCAAAAAAATTATGTATGCAAAAGATGCACTGAGGACAAATAGTAAAAATCTTACCATCATTCCTAAATAGATGTGACCGTAGTTCAATACCATCACTATTGGTCGCACATTTTGAGTACTAACATTTCTAAGTGCAGGGAAAATTTTTTGTCTTGACAGTATGAAGATCCTCAAGCCATGAAACATAATGACTTATCTCCTCGTAGTTTAGTTCAGCTCCGGGACAGTAGTAGGTCTTGTCTACCAAGTGCCGGACATGTTTGGTTGAATGGAGATATGCTGTCAATATAAATTAGTTGTCAGTTATTTTTGAATAAGCAATATCAAAGACAAAAATATAGTTGAGAATAACTCACATAATGGTAGAATTGGAGGCGTCTGCACATCGACCCATATGTCTCAATTACCTTCAGTATCATCTTCCAGACGAATATCAAAGGTGATAACCATACCAGGCTCAAATGCATAAGTCCTGCATAGTGCTTGTCAAGTTTTGCATTCAAAATAGGTGTACGTGTGTGCATTGTATACTTTGCCGTTGAAAGTATAACCATGCTCAGTTTTCAGGTAAACTCTCTTTACCTCCATAGTTTCCATATCATCGAAACCTATCTTATCCAAGACAAAAATTCTTGTGTGGCAGGGAATGCGCTAGTAGAATAGTGAAAATTAAAAATTATAAGTCAGGCAAATGAAATATATATATATATATATATATATATATATATATATATATAAGTCATGCTTAATTACGAAAACAGACACTTGTCGTTGTGACTTACTGTATCGAATTCGAAGGTCTCATCCAGCTTGATGCTGAATCGCCTATCATCAACAAGAAAATTTATGTCGCATTGACCGCGCTGGTCTTCATAATATTCGCA